TGTCTTAGGTCAAGTTAAAACCAATTTTCGTCCAAAGTTGTGTCTAGTGTTCAAAACTGCCCAGATTGTGTTTTTAAGGTAGTTTTGAGTCTTTTGGTTTGTTTTGGTGTTTTAAAGTTTAGTTTTGCATTCTTTGAGTCCAGTATAATGTTTTATATTGTGTTTTTACGTTTTTGAGTCAAATCCAAGTGATTAACAATCCCTCCTAATCCCCGGTCCAGAACGATCCCTACTTACATTCTTCACTACAATTGATAAAAAGAGGGTTTAATTTGTGTGCGTTTAATTCTCACATCATTATCGAGGTGAGTTGTCGGTATTGCAGGTTGCAAACCATAATATCGATAACTTAGTCATTGGAATCGGTACGCAAGTGGGCAAGTAGGCCGTCTACATTAACATTTTATTTATTTATTGTTTGGGCTTGACTCAAAGACACTACACTTATTCTCATAGTACATGACGCTACGAGTTCGTAGGTGAAATTTTTCTATGTTGGGTTTTAATTTCAGTACAACTATGTTAACTTTACTTAATTATATACGTATTTTGATGTTATGTTATTATATATCTATTTTTGACTTTATGTTTTTATAAAGGATTTTATATTTTAGTATTGTATTGAAGGAGAAGGAAAGTGTGAGTTTGGATGCATGAAAAAGGAATCATTGCAATCCAATCGCGACGGAATGACATTCTCTTTTATGGAACCACTCTAGCTTGATTTTTTCTATATATATTTTCTTTCTATCTTGAGTATTTTATGTATAACAAGTGATTTCAAATTTCGGGGAAAATTTTTTTTTAATTTTTTTTTAATTTTTAAGGTGGATAGATTGTAACAACCCATCCCTAATTTTATGATTTTATTAATTTTAAAAGAGTGAATTGATGAAAATGTCCCTAGAGGCGAGGATGTTGACTTTTGTTGACCAGCATATAGTGAGACGTACGAAACATTCTTTTAGCTTATTCTCGTAGCACTCGTCATTACAAACGCGTAGCCGTAAGTGGAATCAAATTTGAAGTTACGATGGAGGTTTTATGGAACTATGAATCCGAAATATACTTTTGTAAAAATAAAAAAAAAGTACTATTTTATATATTTCTTATAATTATTTATTATTTTAATAATTTATTTTTGGCCTGTGGGGTCCACACATCACAAATTCTCCTCTCATCTCTGGCCATGTGGTAGTTCTTCCCCATATATTTGGGGACCCTCTCGAACTCTCCTATCTCTCTCAGCTCTCTTTCTCTTCTCCCTGTCTTCTTTCGTCTACCTCTCCCTTAAACTCTCAAGCTCTCTCTTCTCTTGGTGAAGAACTGGGAAGGTGCAGCGGCCAACATCATCACAACCTGGACTCACCACCTCAACAAAGTTCGTCAAACTTCCAGCTAGAAATTAGGACCTCGGTCTACAAGCTTAGACCACGAACTTGAAACCCTACACTACACAGTGACTTTTATCACTGTTCACTCATTTCTCTTACCATAATGAGCCTCGAGACTCTCGAATCCTTCTTATTTTGAAGCTCTAATGTTGTTTTTAACCTTAAAAATGAGTTTGGGGGATGATTTGATGCATAACACACACTGGGAGGAATTTTCCCCAGTTTTTTGGTGACTAACCAGTCACCTTTAGATCATTTTTTGGCCGTCTCCGGCATTCATTGGCCCTCAAATTGGTATAAATCAATTCTCTGCATTCCTAACTCCACTTTGGCTTTTAAATCACTATTTTTGGTTGAGATGAGCTCAAAATGAGCTTAGGAAAACGGCCCTACAACCTGCAAAACACAGGCCTTTGCAAGGAAGGCGAGTACATTGGTACTCGAGGTGCGTGGACGCGCATAGGTGGCACCCAGTCCTCAGCGCGTGGCTGACAGTGCAGCCACCTTGTGGTGGCTTATGGAGGAACCCGAGGTCCTTCTTTAGGTTTCTCAACGTGCCGAATCCTAATCTGCCATCCGTTTTCCGAAATTCGACCGTTTTAAAATAGTTTTTTTATTAGCTATACTTTGTACGAAAACGCATATTTATGTTAGTTCGTTATATATTTATGTAAATGATTTCATTTCTAGGTGAAACGCATTTCAAGGATCTTCGATGCCCACGAGGTGGGTTCGACCCGACGACATGATTTGTCAATGGGTTTTTGCTTTTAAATATTATATATTTATTTAGTTTCCATTTATATATTTGATAAAGAATTCTCTATGTTACACTTATATTAGACTAACATTTTTAAGAATTAGCGTATTGGCGGAATTTATGAAATTCTCATTAATTCTATGGGATGCACGTTTATACATATTTTGACGTGATGCCATGAATATACTTACGACTACAAATATTATTATTTTATTGTGGTGAATTACGAAGTTTTTGTAGTATGATCATATTTATATTACTGCTCATCATGCATGTTATACTGGTGTTTGTACTTGCCCGGGCAAAGGCCAGGCTTCACGTGTATGTTCACATCGCTGATGTGGTAGAAACTAACACACAAATTAAACCATTTTTAGACAATTGTAGTATACATAAGTAGGGATCGTTCTAGGCCGGGATTAGAAGAGATGCTAATCAACACAAATTAGACTTAAAAACACAAAACTAGACTCTAATGACTCAAAACAGCGCAAAACAAACAAATTGACTCAAAACAAGAACTAAATGGTGATTTGGATGAATTCTAGACTTGACTCAAAATACTAACGAGGGCCAGGTTTGAACGAATTTTAAAACTAACTAACACGACACAATGGCGGGGGGTTTGGTTTGGATAAAATTTAAAACTAAAACTAAGTAACTTGCAGAAAACAAACTAATTGATACTAAATTAGGGTGAATAAAGAGGGTAAAAGGCTAGCTAGAGGGTTCTTCTCCACACAACACATATGCAACACAAATCGATCTCCATTTATTATTCCTATAAACCATGAATGACAATACCCCAAGTTAACCATGAACTGCACAAATTAACCATCAGATTTTCCTAAATTCATTGAATTGGATTCAGCGACGCAATCAAATTATTCTTATCAAGTTCCCTATATGAATTGCATGATAGAGATACACATCAAAGATCATTAAGTTCTATGAAAATCATAAGCATTGACATGGCATTTGTAACTATGAAAAGCATGATACTCCTGCCAGGAATTTACTTAACACAATCATGACTAGTGATTTCCACTACTTACAAATATAATTTCATAACTATTAGATGAAATTCCCTTATATTTTAGCATCAAATTCATGCATGCAAAGTAAGTAGGTCTCCTTAATCAACATACAAGAATAAGTTATCAATCAAACACATAAGTAAATTGCATTCACGATTTATGAAACAATAACTGGATGTAATCAATTTATATCACACATATGTTCATGGTTTTGAATTCACCTCTAGCTAAAAAGAAATTAGCTCCACATGTCTGCAATTAAACGAAACCAATCTAATTTAACCATTGAACAAAAACTAAGGATAGAAAGAACCCAGAAATCCCCTAGCACTCCAATGGCAGATTTGGCACAATCCTTGGATGCAGGGTCACGGTACAAGTCCTTCTTCTCCTTGCAAGCATGGCACAAGTCTCTAAGAACTCTCAAAAACCTGCGGCACACCCCTATTTTCTCTAAAAAAAACTTGCTCTCTAAAAGTTGCGGCAACAATGTGTATATATAGGCTAGGGTTCGGCAGAAACCAAGGAGGAAAAGGATAGGGTCTTAGCATTGCTTTAGGACTCCTTGAATCAGATAGGAAGGATTTAGAATAGAATAAGGACTCCTTTTGCAGCTGGAAATAATCTGAGATAATGTTGGATAAATTGGGATAATGTTTGGATAAGATGAGATAAGATAGGATTAGATAAGGTTAGTTTGGATAAGATTGGATAAGGTTCCTTCTTTTCAGCTGATTCCTTGTCTTCCAAGCTTCCAAATTTGATTCTCCAAATTGTAGGACATATTTAGCACATGTAAAACTCCAAAAACGTCCATCCATTATGCTCCACACGCATGTTAACCAACCCAAGCCCAAAACTACTCCATTATACTCCATTTAGCCCTTTATTGTCATTTTCACCAATTGGACCTACAATAATACGAAAATAAACTAAATTATTATAATAAATAGAAACTAACTCACTAAATGCAAAGAAACAAGCTAACAAAGTCGCATAAATATGCTCCTATTAATCGCATTGTACGCACTAGAGCGTAAATCATTATTACACCCAGTCATGTTCATGTCAAAATACCTTTGCATGAACTCGTGTGTCAGCATACGTTGGTGAGCACTTGTTAGTATATATGTTTGTTTATTCAAGATAAGGGGATTACCTGGTGTTACGTGTTTACTTACGAAATATTATGAAGTATTGCATCCTTGACGATTTTACTATTTACGGTAAGTATTTTCATACTATACGTAGTATGTTATATTTGAAAACTATACTTATTTTACAGCGAAGGGATATTACATTTCGAAAAGGTTTTACAAACTTTATTTTCAGACCCACTCACCCTTGTTTTTCGCCCCTCCAGGATTTAGCAGCAGTGTTCGTCTTGACGAAGATTTATGTCAAATGTTGATATCAAAGACTACATACAGTTCTCATTCTAATTTTATTGTACTTTACTTATACCCAAACATCACGTGTTAATAGGTTCATTCCGGCTCACATGCGCACTCTCGCATTTTCGCACTTTTAGGTTTAAATTTACTCACATTTTCCTCATCACTACACTTTATGGTTTCGTCACCCTCCTAGTGTCAGCCAGCACAGGTCGATTCGGAGTTCAGATAGACATTCCGGATCGGGATGTGTCAAGGTGAAAACCAATTTCATATCAATTTATCAAATCAAAACTTTTGGCGTCCAGGTTTTGATTCATCACTCCAAAGCGCAAACTACTCGCAGGAAAAGTTCAGACCAGCCATAAAACCCCTGGATATAACACTAATAACCAGAACGATAAACCGCGAAAAGTAGAATGCAAAACCTTTAACATCTGAATTTATATTTTCCGGTAATAAAAGCTTCCGATATATCTATCATACAGACTGCCAGTAAGGATCGACTTCAGATTTCGGGGACAAAATCGATCCAGTTCACCTGCAGCAAATGTTTCTCCCCTTCGAAATACTATTCTAGCACTAGTCAATTAACCCAATAGTTACTTCATCGCATACAAAGGATAAAAGCAGGAAAATGGGTAAGGTTGAAATCCATGTGAGCAAGAGAACAACAGAGACCTCCAGTCCAAATTTTCGCCAGTATATTATTCCAAACGTGGATATCTGACAGAATAAGCAGTGTGTGGTGTGAGCGCAAGAAATTTACAACCTTCTATCTTCTGATATTTGTTTGGCTTTCTAGATCTCAGACTCATTCCCACTATCATCCTTCGGTCTTGGGAAAATTTATAACATATTTCCTCCCACTTGATTGAACATACATGACAATTGGATTCCCAAATCGCAATCAAACCTGCGAGAATAAGCATAGATTTTCATTATCGTTGAAAAAAACTCGGAAGAGCAGAAAACACACGCAACTGATTAGTGCACAGACAAGAAACTAATGGAAGTGAGGATGCTCAGAGGACCTAACTTTATAACAGTTGAAATAAGTATTACTATTTGATATGAAATGTAAGATCCAACTCATAGATTTGCCAATTTCATTGACAATAGCAGTAGAAGTGGATAAAGTTAGTATATTGTAACAGATAAAAAGTCAGTAGATCTAAAAGACATGTTCAATTGACTGTAAGAACTAATCACATTAACATGGAGAAAATGAATTACCATTTTCCAGTATTCTGAACGAAGAAAAACCACTAAATATCCAAATCATCATCAGGATCCTCATCAGAATCCGGCATCTCATCTTCTGAATCACGATAATATATTATTTCGCCCTTGCTAGACTCATCATTGGTGTTTGAATTCACAGTTGAAGCAGGTGCAGCATCATATTTGCTATCCATCAGAGATTTTCGACCATCATAAATTTGTACAGGTTTACCATTTCCTGCAAGAAAAAGTCAAAAGTTTGCTTTGGAGTATCACTTTAATGCAGATAAAAGAAAATAAACCCTTTTTTTATTTTCTGATATTTAATACATGGTACAAGAACAAACCACTTATATAACCATGTTTTCATACCTTGGTGTTCAAACGGAAGTACAACCTTGGCCCTATCATTTTTCTCTTTCTCTGACAGCTGTAGATTGAATTGCACCTGTAGCGAAGAACCATTTTTAAAATAAAACAATAAACCAATGAAATAACCATTCCTCCAAAATAAATAGAATTTAGACAACTTTGTTATCAACATGCACAATAAAACTTACTATTCACTAGTGAACATCTGTTTATGTCCATGCATGCAACGTCTAGTTATGTCTTATGTGAAAGTTATTAAACGATTCAGTATTAGTAGTCATCCAATTGTATCATAATGGACTCAAATTGGCAATTGGAAATAGCAGAATGTAATGAAACTGAAAATAAACAATTAAAAGAAATCCTTGATTCCAAATAAGGTCTTAGACTTAGAGAGGCGAAGTTAAGACAAGGCTAAACAAGTTACCTTCGGCAAAAGGGCTTGATTGACTTGATTGATTACTCCATCTTCAGATGAAGGGGATGTGAAGTTGATGCCCGACTGCCCAACATGAATTTCTTCAAACTGAATACAAGTTTCAGGGACTCATATCACTTTCCAGCTTTCTAAATCAGGAGAAAACTCACACACACACACACACACACAAAGAGAGAGAGAGAGAGAGAGAGAGAGAGAGAGAGAGAGAGATCACCATCACTAGGACACGTCCATTTCTACGTTTGCATCTGACATGAAATTTCCCTTGTGTAAAATTCCGTTCAGCTAAAGAAAGATTCTCTGAATTACCTCTGTGTCCATTTGTAAATGGGATTAATGGTTCTATGCTGGCCACCATAGAGGACATGTATTCAATAACAGCAGTGACCCTTTCTTCACAAAGATCGCATGGAAAAACCAAAAGATGCTTGAAATTTTCTCTGCAACCATAACATAAAAGTCAATATGCAGATTCCAAAAGTTGAATGTATGCAGTGACCATATCATGGACTTCACCGAGTCTAATATGAATGATGCGCCATTTCATACTGAGACACCATATATATTGTGGTAAATTAGAAAAAAAAAAACCCAAATAACTATATGTTTTACAGTTTTAGTGAAAAACACTTTGGGAGCTCAATTTGCAGAAAAGTCTATCCCTTGTCATGCTCTAATTGATTCTTAGTTGTGAAATTCCTTTGGTGTTACAAAGTAGTTGGGTTTTTCAATACTGAGTTTGAAGTGTTTTTCTATGTTATCAAGGGCTTACATATGAAGCCCTATATACTACATCATCCAAAAAGGGTATATTAAACTGTTTGTATGGTAGCAGCTATAGGCTTGTGGCAGAAGAGATTAATGCACACGAAAAAACAAATCATAAGACTAGATCAAAGTTAAAACAATAGATTCTAAACGGAGAGAGATCAAGGAGCAAGTAAAATAAATATACCACAGCAGCGAAGGTTGCTTAAAAGGCCAGAACCTGATGACAAAGTTGCATGCCTTAACATTTCATTTACCTGGAAAATTTTGAAAGGAATCCACCAAAAAGAACATGATCAGAAAGGGAGGGAAAAACATCAAAGTAACCAGAAAGAAAAATGTCCCAAGGTGGGCAAAAACAAACGTATCAACAGAAGAATTACTTTCCAACACAGACTTTCAAAAAAGTAAGGACATCTTATAGATATCAACCAGGAGCTACTATCAAGAAGGCACCAAAGTGTCCTGCCCTATCTAAATATGAGACAAAAGAGTATCGTAAAAGTCCATACTTCTTGACATCGGAAGCAATTGACATTCTCCTCACTAAGCTAAGGCAACAGAAACAGTTGTGTTTAGACATTCCAGAAAATGGCCACAACAAAAGAAGCTCGCATATTCAATCATTTTCTTGTAAAACCAATGACATACTATGTCCCATGTAAGTATTTAATCTCTATGGCTGAGGTGAGCGCATCCATCAAAATTTCAGCTGGCATATTTTTTGAAATCTGGAAGGAGGTTTCCAAGCCCCAACACAGATGGGATTCTTAGAAGGTAAGACGAGATTCTTAGAAAGTGACGAGAAATTTCTTGTGTATGGCAGTGTTTTAAACTCGAGAGGAAGTTTCCACACATACACACACAAAAATATTAAACTAAAGTAAAAAATCACTGTACAGTCTTGGCACACAGCACCAGCAGGCCACTCAAATTACTAGCACTGCCCCTGAAATTTCATATATCACATTCACAGAATGCATACTTACCGAATCTATCGCAACACTGAAACTAACTTTCCCTTGTCCAACCAATCCTGCGAGCATAGGACCAAACAGAAATCGACAATTACAATTGGACTAAATTATGTGCATGCTTACATGATCAAACAGTCGTCTTACTGCGAAAATAAAGTTTATTCCAATGTTATGTATGTCAGTACCAATCGAACCAATAATACCTTCTCCAAGTGAAATAATTGAAGAGAGCAACGTGTCCACATCCTTCACATTCCTGCAAACACTAGCTGCTTTGTAAACTTCATGAGGGAGATTTTTCGCACTTCCACACTCCACAAGCCCTTCTCTCCATCCAAGAGGGTCCGTGTAACAATCCAAAATCTGAATCCTGTAATGTTAATTCAGTTCAATGGTCCCCCGTACATTATACACACACATATGTATAATTAAAATCTCCACTGTTTTTCTTTTCAATTTCCTCAATCAAACAGAGTAGAAGGTAAGGAAAGAGAAGAAGGTTTTCGTTACCGTTGCTGAGAGGAATTATCGAGTCCTCTCCTCTTCAACAAATTCACATAATACAACGGACTCCGAGAAAATGCGACGAGCACAAGACCTCTATAAAATCAATCAAAAAAATTATTAATCTAAAAGATACATTGGAAAATTACAAATTTCAACCGTGAGATTGGGTCGTTTTGGGAGAGGTAAACCGACCGTGACTGAGATTTTCCGGCTGAAATGTTGGTGGAGAGCTGGGAGAGGACGTGACCAAAAACTTGGAAGCCGAGAGGTGAGACTATTGAGTCCTTGATTGCGAGAGCAGGTGCATGCTCGCCTTCCAACGCACCGTCTCGAAGGGCTCTGCAAACCCATTCCGCCATTGTTGCTGGGTACTTGAACCTTGGAGTGTTATTTGGTCCTTTGGAAAGAAAACGAAGAGATTTGGTAAAACTTTAAACTACAAGTCTTCAACACTCCATAGAAGCAGATGAGTTCCCATTTCGCATTTGCAGGCAGAGGAGATCAAATTTAAGCGTTGAAGGATAACCGGAGCTACGGTGACATAACGCCGCGAATCAAACTTTGGTCCCTACGAAGTACGAATTGAGAGAGAGGAGACGGGGCCTATGAATTTGAACAGAGAAGGGGATCGATGTTGACTGCCGCAAAGAGACGGCTGATGGAGTCACACACACAAGGCAACAGAACAGGGAAGGAAATAACAGGAAAGGAAAGAAATAAAACAAGTTTTCTTCATTCATATCCCCCGAATGCTGCTGCTAGGGTTACTAAATACACTGAGACTTGCTATGAGATCCTATTACGACGGAGATTACGACTCGTAGCCAACAGAAGGTAACACAAAAAGTACTATACAGCCATACTAAAGACTTTGGGCCTAACAGTTCTAACGCCTTGGGCCTCTCCATGATTAGGAGTCCATCAACGCCATCCGCCCCAAAATAAGGACTATCCTCAGGCCTGAGTATCGAAGTCAGAAAATTTCAGTAGGAAGTCGAAGTCATCTGCATACTCCCAAGTAGTGTCCTCCACCGACAGTCCTAGCCACTTGATCAACCAGCGAGTGATGGGTTTGTTGTTGCGCTTGAAAAGTCCCCTGCTTAGAATCTGTTCAGGCTGCCATACCACATGCCCATCTGGTTGCAGTGGTGGTAATTGAGTAGAGGAGCCAACATGAACTTGCGTTCAATGTAATTTTTGTTGGCATATGTTCTCATCCTATCCTGAGCCGCTTGCAAGTTAAGGCGAAGTTGTTTGAGAAGAGTATCTCGCTCCTGAAGAGTGGAATCAACAGCATGGACTGATGTAAAACCTGGAACATAAGAAGTGACAGTGGGCGGTGGATACCCATAAACTGCTTCAAACAGTGTCATCCTTATGGCGCCTTGGTAGGTGGTGTTATACCACCACTCGGCCTATGGTAACCAAGAGCTCCAGCTAGTCGGTTTGTTGCATTCGAAACACCTCAACTAGTGCTCCAAGGTTCTGTTTAAAACTTCCGAATGACCATCCGATTGAGGATGATAGGCAGTGGAGTAACAAAGCTTGGTGCGCTGAGCCTTGAAGAATGCAGACCAGAATTGACTCAAGAATGTGGAGCCTCGATCGCTGACTATGCTCTTCAGCATTCTATGAAGGCGGAAGATCTCCCTGACGAAGACCTCAGCCACTTTAGATGCGGTGTATGGGCGGGTGAGAGGAACAAAATGCTCGTATTTAGATAAACGATCCACTACTACAAGAATGGAGTTTTTTTCGTGGGACTGAGGTAGGCCATCAATGAAGTCCATGGCAATGTCTTGCCATATATTTTCTGGAATGGGCAGTGGCTGGAGTAAACCTGGAGGCTTCAAAGCCTCGCAATTTTGCTGCTGACATATATCCTAAGCTGCAACAAATTGATGGACATCCTTTTTTAGGCCTGGCCATTTGAATGAGCAAGAAATTCGCTTGTAGGTTCGTAGAACACCTAAGTGACTTGTAGCTTGATAACTCATATATTTCATACATTTATACCATCCATTCCTAGTCCCTTTGTGATATTTTTGAGTTAAACTAGTTACATTTTATCTTCTTTTGTGTTAGTGTGCAACTAATCGTATTTTGGAGCTCAGTTGAGGACAAATAGGGCAAAATGGTGCTAAAAGTGGAGAACTAAATAAGGATGCTGATGTAGACAAATAATTAAAAGTGGAAACTGAATATGGAGATAAATATGGCTCTTTATAAGACCCATAACAACAAAAAATGTGGGAATTAAATGCCCAATTACTGGGATGTATTGGCAATCTGTAACAGCCTCTTTAACCTTATAAAACTGAGAATTCCAGCCACTTTTACACAAGATTCCCCTTGGGGACGCCCATAGCTCTCTCTCTCTTCTCTTTCTTTGGCCTTTCTTCCAAAAACAAAATCCTTTCTCCATTCACCATCCGCAGCCACCAAAGAAACCACATAGCCGCACTGTTCTTGGAGAAGTTCAACATCAGAATTGCTTCAAGGGGGTTTCTTCTATGAACTTTAATTTCACTCATGTTGTTCTTGATATTTATATATTTTGTATTCATGTTGTGTAATTAAGTTCATAACTAGGGATTTCGATGTAGCTTTGCAAACCTATTCTATGTTATTAAGTTAAAGTATTCAAATTCATCAATCTGTTTTCATGTTTCATTCATTGATTTTATAGTATAATTTGTTTGTTAATCTTAATGTTTGATCACCATTAGGACTGCTTATGAATTATTTGATCAAGGTTATAGTACACATCATGCTTAATCTTGGTGGAAATGTGAATGAATGAAGAAACTGCTATGCATATATCCTGTCATATGATTTCTTTGGTTCTTTGAAGTTTTCTTGTTCTTAATGGATTCTTATCTGGTAATCTACGTTGAACATCGCAATTAGATTGCATATTAGGAGTACTTGATCACAACCACACATCAAATGGATGATCATAAATAAGTAAAATGAACCCTAGTTGCAGATTGGAGAGTTCAATGCGTTTTGACTTAAATTTCATGGAATTGGCTTGTAATGGTGAAATCGATATCCCTAGTTCTATTCCCATCGTTTCTAAATTAATCTATCATTCATCTTTATCTTGTATTGCATTTTATGTTACTTTAGATTCCAAAACAAAAATCTAAATTCAGTTTTCATTTTCATTGTTAGTGAGGGTTCACATAAAGCTAGTAATTTGTAGAGTTCTAATCAGTCCCTGTGGTTCGACACCCTTACTTGTGCCATTGTATTATCCTTATATTTGCACTTGAAAGGAACATAACAAAATTTTGGCATCCTTGTCGAGGATTGATTTCAGTCCCCTATAATTGCTTACTTTATAAACCCTATCTATTTTTCTTTTCTTAGTTTAGATTTTTAATTTACATTTTAGGTTGTTTGATTTCAGGTGGTATACAAAGATGTATGGTGAATGTTCGTTATGTGCTAAACTAGCCATCCTCTTCAATTCTACCCAAGGAGAGATGAGTTTCTTATGTTTGTCCGAGAGCACTCACACCGCATGTGTTTCTCTAACCAAGGGCCACTACAACCATTGTCAATACATACAACCCCGCTTGGAGAAATTCTCATCATGACTCTTGGAACAACATACAAGTTCCAAATCAAGCATTTGCACCTCCACCACCACAGCAAGAATTGTTTGACACTACATTGGAGGACACTTTGAAGCTACTTGCTCAAAACAATTTGCAATTTCAACAATCAACGAGTAGTATTATTCAGAACCACTCTTTAGCACTAACTAAGCTGGAAATTCAAATGGGTTAGATTGTCCAAGCGTTAAATGAACATTAATTTGGTGGTGATGATCAACAAAAGAAGAAGGAACAACCAAAGAAAGCTTGTGAAGGAAGATTTTTGAAAAACATGTTCATTTAAGCAACATCAATAGCATGCAATTAACAATTAAAGGCGGAATCATGCTTGTATGCACTTAAAACAAAACATTTACCCATGAAATTCAAAGCCTAGTAGATAGGTGAACCAAGACTCAACTCAAAACAAAGTGAGTTGAGAAATCAATACCTTTGTAGATTCCTCTTTGCATAAGCAAAGGCTAATCACCCAAAGAGAGGGCCTTCATTCCTTGCATCTTAGATCCATGGATTTGGATGGATGAAAAGGTTTCTCCAAGTTCCCAAAATTGAGAACCTCTAATGATTCATCACCAAGGCATAATGAAGAAGAAATGAGTGACCTTGGAGGAGTTTGATTGCTAGATGATCCCTCCAAGGTGGCCTAAATTTTAGAGAGAAAGGAGAGCTTGTGTTCTCATCTTTTCCCCAAAAATTACCATATGTAAATTTTAGGCTATAAAGTCTTTTATATAGTCCCTTCAAATAAGTGACCTAATGGACCAAAAGCCCTATTCTTCTAATCATGGCCGGCCATAGGGTTTATTGGGCTTTCAAGCCCTTTGTTTATTCAAGTTGTCATACAACTTAAGTTAATGGGCTTGACATTCAAATCCCATTGGGCCTTGCGGCCCAAAACTAACCCGAGGTCTTTAACGAACTTATTCGTTTGATTAATTAACATATTAATTAATCCTAGCCTTAGATAAATAATTAAACCATTTAATTATTCTTACTCATCTCCGTTGTTTCTTCAAACTCTACCTTACTCGGTGAACGATCCATTAGGTTCCTTTCAGCGAGGCAGTGGGCGATTCAAACTCTTTCAAATCGATTGTGAATTGAAACTTACTTTCAATTCTCCCGTTAGTGATAATACACTTTTAGGGCTTCCACAAACCATGGTTGACGCCTAGCAGCATGTCATGGTTACCCAAGCTAATCAGAAGAGGTGGAGAACCTATTCAGTTTTAGGATTACAAATGCAATACGGTCTTTCTCTAATACAATACTCTCGACCACATTGTTTGGATTGATAGTTTATTCATGTCTACTATCCAATGTGAGTCTTGTGCTTATATGATTACCTTGAATGTGATTTGAAACACATTCCTAAATCTCATTCATACTTTGGCCAAAGATTCAAAATCATATCATAGAGTATTCTCCCTCAAACAGTTTGAAGGTTAGAGATCCCTTGTTGCGCATTCACTTGCCTCCATGGCTAAGTGGCTTAACCCCAACGATGCCATGGACACCCTCATGATGGAGTGACTTTGACATAATCAAAGATTAAGGACCTAACCACAAGACAACTGTGATGCCTCAGGTCAAAAGACTAATTTGCATTATCCCAACCACGAGTTCTCATGTGACATGAATATGAGAACTCTTCGTTGATCGTGTTCAGTGAACTCATTCTCTATTGAGCACCTACGTACTTGTCTTGATGTCACACACACCAATGACTCGAGACTAGTCACTCTCCCTGAGAGAAGACATAGCACGTACTGATCTTAACGGACTGTCAATGCCCAATTGACAATCCTATGATCAGGAACGTTTAGGATGTGTCAACGAAAGAATGGTCTCATGAATCTAACTTCTTTAGATCGCATTCTTCCAATCACATATTCCTTGGACTTATCGTTTAAGCATATAACATTTATATGAGACGGCTCAAACAATAATGTTTGCCCTTAATATTAAACTAGATTAGTTTAACATGTGAAATGTCCATAAAGTATCATCATATGATTGGTTTTAGGGCACATTTCCAACAGCTTGTTATGCATATTTTCATGAGGTTCTTGAGCTTTTCGAAAATGAAGAGCCTTACACTCTTCCCAAGCCATATGCTCCACCAAT